TTTTTTACCAGAGGCTACGTTTTCCACACACATGAACACAGACAACATCGTTCGACACATAATTTTGGTGTTTCTGTGAAAGGGTCAGAGTACTGTGCATCTGATAACGAACCCGATTTTTACGGACTACTGCAGCAGATTTTTGAACTCCAATATGCAGGTCATTTTGGACTCAAAGTGATGATGTTCAGGTGTGATTGGTTTGATCCTACACCTATACGAGGGATCAGAGTCAACAAAACAGTTTTTTTTACATATGTTACACACGTCGATACGGAAAATATGATCCTTTTATATTGGCTTCTCAAGCAGATCAAGTGTGTTACATCCCTTATCTGAAGAGAATTACAAGAAGGTCAGACATTGATTGGCGAGCCGTCGTGAAAATAAACCTCAAGAAGGGCAGACATTGATTGGCGAGCCGTCGTGAAGATCAACCCCAGGGGAACTATTATTCAAGAAGAAAATGATGAACAAATCCCGCTTCAAGATGTCGATCAAGGCCTTTTTCAAATTGAAGGCACAATTGAGGTTGGAAAGTTAATAGCCGAAGAAGGAATAGTTGAAGAACTTGCAGACAATAATGACGAAGAGCAGGACAATACCGATGAGTCGGACGAAAAAACAACAGGAAGTTCTGAATATGGTTCATTTGATTAATAATAACTTTTTTTATGTATAAAATACCGATTTGTATTACAAATATTGTACTCGGAATCAAAATATTAGTTATCTTATATTTTTGCATTTTATTTTTTTAAATTATTACATTATTTTGCGACCGAAGATATCTGTCGCAACATTGTCGCAAATCGTCAATATTGTCGCCAAATCTGCATCTCCCGCTTTTTTTTCGTAGCGACAGATGGCGACAGAATAAATCTGTCGCAATGTCCACGTGTCTCCCGCTTTAATGACAAAGCGACAGATTGCGACAGAATAAATCTGTCGCAATGCTGTTAAAAACATCGCGAATCGTCTTCTTCCTCAGACACTTAGACATTTCGAACTCGCGCCTCTCCTTCGCCGCCTCTCCTTCGCCGCCGCCACTGCCGGTCACCGTTCCCAGGTAAGTTTCCGAACTCGCGTCTCCCCTCTTCTTCCCCTTTCCGATCGGTTTAGTGTTTAGGTTCGTTGTTCGATTCTTTTGAATACATTTTGAACAGATTCGTGGCTGAGCTTCCACCGACACCGCCGCATCACCGCGCCGTCGTCCTTCACCGACACCGCCGCATCACCGCGCCGGTCATTTGCCGACATCAAGGTAAGTTTCCAATTTTTTCGATTTTAAGGTGTTTTTGGTTCGATTTTAAGGTTGTGGTCGAATTATTTTAGTGTTTAGAGTTAATTTTAGGGTTTAGGGGTTAATTTTAGCTTTTAGGGTTAATTTTTGATTTTAGGGTTTTTTAGGGTTTAGGGTTAATTTAGGGTTTAGGGTTTGTTTAGGGTTAATTTTAGGGTTTAGGGTGATTTTAGGGTATTAGGTTTAATTTTAGATTTAGGGTTTAGATTTAATTTTAGGGTTGTAGATTTTAGGGTTTCTTTAGTGTTTAGGGTTTATTTAGGTTTAGGGTTATTAGGGTTATGTTTAGGGTTTAGGGTTAATTGTACATTTTAGGGTTAATTTTTGATTTTAGGATTTAGGATTAATTTAGGGTTTAGGGTTTGTTTAGGGTTAATTTTAGGGTTTAGGGTGATTTTAGGGTATTAGGTTTAATTTTAGATTTTAGGGTTTATTTAGGGTTTAGGGTTATGTTTAGGGTTTAGGTTTAGGGTTAGTTGTAGATTTTAGGGTTAGTTGTAGATTTTAGGGTTAGTTGTAGATTTTAGGGTTAATTTAGGGTTTAAGGTGAATTTAGGGTTTAGGGTTACTTTTAGGGTTTAGGGTTATGTTTAGGGTTTAGGTTTAGGGTTAGGGTTTAGAGCTAGTTCATGGGTTTTCATGATTTTGTTCTGTTATATGTAACTTGTAGATGAGTCACTCCCATTCTAGTGGTCGTAGCGGTAGTGGAGTACGATCCCGAGGACGTGGGATCGGATCATCTAGATCACCATCTGTCCATCGGGATCAGGTGGTAATCGATCCTCCTCGACTTGATGTACCTTTCACGGGTGCGGCTTCCCCCCAATCCGTGAATGAAGGTGCATCTAATCACGGTGCATCGCCATCGCCATCGTTGCAGGAGATTCTAGCGTCTGCAGAACGTCGTCTCTGACCTAGTCTAGACCCGGATCGCTCCCTCAGTTCTATTTGGTAGGTATTTTTATGCATATAATATATATTTATTTTAATTTCTTTTAAATTAATTTTACGAAACCGATTTTTACAGATTTGATCGTAATAACGAGGTGATTGCATCTGTCGTCAGCATCTTTCAGTCGGACTTCAAAGGTCTGTGGCGGAGTCTCATCCATGTCCCTCCATTTGATATGCAGCGTTGGTTTGGGGCTTTCGCGGTAAGAATTTTGGCACTTAGTTCAATTTTATATGCATACAAAATTATAAATTTATTTTTTTTATAGCAAGCTTATTATTGGGACGGGTCCATTCATGACCGAGTCTACGCCGCTTGGAGGCTCGCCGTCCGAGATCGCCTCAAGGACAGCATTTATCGGGTAAAGAGCAGATGCGTACGACCTGCATGGATGTCGACGGCGATCTACGATCAGCTAGTTGAATATTGGGATTCAGAAGAAGGAACGCAGAAGAGTCAAACATTCTCAAGCAATCGACGATCCCGAGCGGAGATCGAACGCGCACCCCCGATGATGAGGACCTCGGAATCCCGAGTGATGCATCAAACTATATCTTGGAGGTAAAGGAACATATGGAGCTAATGATAGCTTGGAACGGGAGCACGGAGCTAGGAGGTAGGAGCTCAACGAAATAGCTTGGAGCTTAAGCAATGCTTGGAAGATGCACCTTACAACAATGAAAGGCTACAAGGAGATACACGATCAAACCTTCAAGAATCAAGAAGCAATTGTGAGCTAAATACATCTCAAATTAGAGGACCAAAGACAGAGAATCACGAGCATCATCTTGACCCAAACCACCTCTCATGTGTGCCAAATCTCGAGCTCCTTGTGTTAACGTCATTGCATCCATCAATCACGCCTTGAACGCAACTCGGAATGGAGCTACACACCTTCCTTGTTTTGGATCAGCTAAGGCACGAAACTTCTCCATATTACAAGTCTAATTTGCTTCATTCCCAAGTCATTCAAGCAAAGGAAGCTTCTTGAGTCACAAGTCAATTCCCAACAGCTAGTTTCTATCAACCACCACATTTAATGCAAGAGGCTCCACCTATCTTGCATGGCATTTACCATTAATGTTATTTCTTTTGTTTTGCCTTTAAATATGAGTTGTAAGACATCATTTGGATCAGATTTTTGAAGATGAATTAAGTAATTTCGAGCTTGTCTCAAACTCTTGTTGGTGTGTCCGACATTCTTTCGGTTTGTCCGAGAAATTCCGTCTTGGTTTGTCCGAGGCTTGTCTTGATTTGTCCGAGACCCTATCCTTCGTTCTCCATCCATCTCTTGACTACGATTCGAATTCGAGAGCCTCTACAAGCGCCGGTGATCGGATCAAAGTCCCACACCCCTATCCCCTTCGGTCCTTCTCCAACCGTCGTTCGAATTCGAGTGCCTCCACGAGAGTGCCGGTGATCGTTCACGGATTATCTCCATCTCCTCCGTGCGTATATCATTTTGGTATCAGAGCTTTAACTCTCCAACGGCGATTTAAACCCGGTGAGATCTCTCCATGTTTACGTTTTGTTGATTGCATTTCGTTTCTATAAACCGAAAATCATATTTCACCAAAAACAGTTTTGTATTACCGATTCTACGTAGTTGATCACTTCTCGTTTATTTGACAGTGAAAGCGTGGAGCAATCAGCCCCGAAAACTCACTTACATCGCACGCTAAACCTCTCCACCTCGGTTGTTTCGTTCTTCTTTTTACTTCTTTCGATTTCGTTGATTGTACGCCAAGTGTTCGATTGATTGTGCCAAAAATCTGTTTGTTGTTACTTGGTTGAATCATTGTGTGGAATAGGATCAAGTACACGTTTTGGTTACTTCACCTACTGTTCTAATACTTGTTTGTGGTTGTGTTAGCACGTAAGAAGATCTGATCATGTTCTCGTTTGTGGTTGCAAAACGTTATTGTCGATAATCGTTCGCATTGTTGCTTGAATCGTCACTTGTTGAGTATTGCATGTATTATCTACTGTGATAACTTCAAGGAGCCTGTTTTATTCCGTGTTTAAATCATCTTTGATTGCATGTTGTTTGAACCGTGAGTGACAGCACGTTCATTGCTTTTGTCGGTTGCACGTTGTTGATCGCATACCGTTTGCTGCACGTCGATATCTGATGCTCGCTGTTCGAATCTGCACGTTTAGAGCTGTCTGACATCTTGTCTAAAACTCGTTTGCCTGCCATTTCGGAGATTTCATAACTTCTTAATAATAATGACTAGCGAAAGGGTTAACAACGAGTCTCCGAAAGGAACGATGCTTCAAATGTTACAACAGATTCAAGACCGCCTCATACGACTTGAGCAGGAGACCCGACCCATAGAATCTTTGAGGGCCTCAAACCACCGTCCATATCATGAACTAAGGGCTGGTCGGAAATCTAAGCCGTTCTTGTTTCCCAGAAGTTTATCTCGAGTGGGAGCGGAAAATGAATGACATCTTTGAGTGTTACTCCTGGTCGAACCAAAGAAAGGTCCAATACGCAGCTGCCCATCTTGCGAAGAATGCTCTCATATGGTGGGAACAAAAGGAGATCGAATACCGATGAGCACATTATGATCCGGTTTCCACTTGGAAAGAGATGAAAATCCTCATGCGGAAAAGGTATGTACCCCGACATTGTCTCCGTGAATTACAATATAGATTTGATAACATCATACAGAGAGACACAACGGTTGAGGACTACTACAGAGAATTTGAGCAGCTGATTGCGTACTTAAGAATCGACGACGATGAAGAAGAACTCATGATGCATTTCCTAGGAGGCTTACAAAAACGAATCGCTAGAAAGGTAAAACAACAAGTGTACCGTGACTTGGGACATCTTGTGCATGCGGCGATTCAAGTAGAGCGACAAATCAACAAGAAGCCTTTGGAATTGGTGAATGTACTTGCTGCAACACCAACAAAAGAAAGCGTCATCAAAAACCTAGACAAGCACAAGATGAAGGATAATAAAGGCAAACACGAGGAAGCAA